TATTAATTGTACTAATTATTCTGTGTATATACATATTTTTTGAATATAATACAGTCTTGTGCAATACTTTTGTTGCATACTGTATGCTTTCTTGCTAGTGACATAGCTTGAAACTTCGAAAGTCATTCTACATACGCCATGTAAAGCAATAGGAGCACACTGATTGTACTTGATCTCTGCCAAACAAACACTGCTAGCATTCTGAGCTTGATGATTATCTATAGAGAATTGGATTGCTCCAGCAACAAAGGCATTAGTTGCAGTTTCGAGTAGCTCTCTGAGTGTTGTCTTGGAGTGAATCCAAGGAAGGGAAACGGAAAGTATTGAGACATACCTTTCAGCTTTGCTTATTAAAGAATTAATGAGCGACCTTGCAGGTCTAGTAGAAGGACACAAATAGGCTGAGCTTATGATCCCTTAATGAATTATAAATGTTTAGCGGACATATCTAAAAATATAGATTAACATACGATCCGGAACATACATGCATATGGTACTCAAAATTGGTCTGGCTGTGATGGTTGAGACACGAGTTCGTCAATGGTATGGTTAGCCAGAACTAGATATTCACATGATTTTAAATTCGTAAGTACTCTACAATAAAACAAAATAAAACAAAACAAATGATGACCAGTCGTCTATTCGCTGAACGATCACTTGCATCTCACGCAAAATCGCCAGCGTAGAGACCTTGCACATCCGTACTATATACTTTTAGGTATTCCACGGTGACATCGTAGCAAAGCAGTACAGAAATCAAGTAATTCCAGAAGAAACAGCACAACAAGCTCATCTCCCAGCATTTAAGGGAGTCCCTCGGCAAGGTCATCTCTACTGAGTCCTTGACGCAAGTAAAATTCTTCTCACATAATAACACAATCCTTCTCCTCCACTTTTGACGCCTGAATCCCCATCTCCGCGAACGTGTTATATTTTACCCTCGGAGCGTTTGGTGCAGCAGACCCCATAGGCCCTGCATCAAGGCCAGGTGAAGGTATAGGCGACTCCGAGAACGCCGTCGACAATATTGACGAACCGACTTCAAATTCCGTTCGGCTTGTCCAAGCGGGAGACGGTGAAGGGTACCTTCTCGGCGGCGTCCCCGATCTCGCCCTCGTACCGACATTATTGTTATCCGCGCCAATAATTGGCTGAGGTGATCCTGATCGAGACGACGGCCCTGAATCAACAAGTGAATACCGCTTCCGCTCAGGGAACAACTGGTTCGGAGGAGCCAACGTAAGCGCAGACGACGCTGCCGTACCCTCCGAGAAGGCGTCTCGCTTGGGGAATTCCTCAATCTCAGATAACCTGCCGCCAGAGCTATTCCGACTCGGAGCAGCGTGGTTGTCGACGGAGCCGGCGCCCGAGCCCATACCCGCTCGCTTACCCCTCAACGCCTTCGGCTGAACCTTGGACGCTCGGCGAACGAGTTCCACAACCTGTCCTGCATCTTTCTGAGGACCACCGCGTCGGACTGATCCCGCAGCATCAGAGCATTGTTTTGCCTGGGTTCGTCGTCGAACAAGGGTTTGTTCGGCGAGCTGATCATGGTCTTGTCGGGACAATGAACTGGTCGCGTTCTGTGCGAGGAAAGTAAGACGATCCACGGCATCAGAATTCCCATGGGCTGCAGCCTAAGATATCACGAATAAATACTCAGAATTTTGCAATAGATAGAAAGTACCCTATACCTTTTCATACCAGCGTTTGGCCCGACGCATATCTTTGACAGATCCAATACCAACCTCCCAGTAATACCCTACAGCAAATTCCGCACTCGGCAGCCCAGCACGAGCAGCTCTCTCAGCAAACGTGCGTGCAAGTAGCTCATCTTTTTCAAAAAAGCCCTCTGCCCCACAAAGGAACCATTTCGAAAGAGCAAGGTTGGCTTCCGGGTCCGACTCGCTCGCCAATGTATAATATTGAACGCTGAGTAGAGGATCGTACGCGTATGGTGCTCGCGCGAACTCGTAGAAGTGACCTAGTTTATACTGAGCCTAAATTTCGGAAAGATATAAGAATGTTGGTACGCGTAAGTAATGAGCGCTACCCACAGGTGTAAAGTGGAGATAAGCTGCACGTTCTAGGAATCGCTGCGCTTCTTCCTCAATCGTCGATCCAGACGGGGTGTGCGGCTGAAATATAGACGCCGGGAGGTTAGCAGATGCGTGCGCAAAGTCTCCAAGAAGGAGGCTTGCGTAGACATATGCTGGTTGTGGCACCACGACGGTTGCCTTTTCAGCCGCACGATAAAGGAGTTGCACTGCGGTTGAGGGTGACTCAGTAAGACCAAGTTGTCCCATTAAATACGCCATTCCCAATCGGTACAAGCAGCTCACATCCTCCGCTTTCGCACCGCGTTCAAAACAGTCTTTTGCTCGCCTGCTGTCATCGAAAGCTTCGTAGTTTCGCCCTAGTTTGAACCAAGACGCGGAATACCCTGCTCGTGCGCTCGTTTCAAAAGCCCGGAATGCTGTCCGAGGATTTTCCGGAAGCCGTGATGGAAAAGCACCTGTCGAGGTGAGGCAAGCCCAATGATAAATGGCTTCGGCAATAGGCGGAGCAAGTTTTGTGCCTGCAGGAGGAATAGTCGAAACAACTTCTAGCAGTAGCTCAACAGCAGCTTCCAAAAGCTCTGCTAGATCCTGGTCGTCAATTATAAGAGGACCCGTCTGTAATTCTGCGGAGACTGCCAGAGGCGACGACGTCCTATTGACTAAAAATAGCACATCACGTATAAAGCGGCATTTGCGTTCTACCGTTGAGCTGCCCAGACGACCAGTCCGAAGAACTTCCAACAGCAAAGGAGTCGTGGATAGTGGTGCAGTGAGTGCAGAGACATCACCTTGCAATGAAGATGGTGAAGGGCTCAGCGTTGTTTCTCGCCGAGGAGGACTACCTTGCAGCGAAAGACCAAGCATAGACTGGCTTAGATGATTGTCTGCTTGCGACTCCATGGTGGTTGAGGGGGAAGAAGGAACATAGGACGAGCCCGTGTCTGTGCCGTCGGTGGCCGAACATAGGGCTGCCTGACGCGTGGACGGCCCCGAGTGCGAGCTGGCAATAATATTAATATTAACGGACGTCATCCTGCGTGTGGGCTGCGCGATCAAAATACGCGAGTAAAGGCTGTTTGCCGACCACCCACATTCGCACCGCCCCTTTACAAGGAACGTCGGCACAATCGGAGGCCGACCCTAGGTCGATCTCAATCGAGGGTCACCGTGATGGCGGCGAAAATACAACGAGTACCTGGCTGTTCACAGGACACACTCTGGCCATGGCTGCACACTGCGTCCAGGGAAACGAAACGCTCTTGGAAGCTAACATCCTTATTACATAACCCATTACTTAACCGCTATACATGCCCTTTCTCAAGTTCTTGCTTTTACTCACAATCCCATCATCACACTCCCATACATGCGCACAATAACTGCCCAATTTTCTTATGAAAGTATCACTGCACTGGGGTAATCATCGCAACATATTTTCCTTCAACCACCGGAATGATTAATATTATAACGGTAAGTAATGCGACTCGGACCACAGATTTTCTAAGAAACTTCACTTCCTCTCCCATTGATGATCACTGGGTAAGCACTTGGAACTGTTTAAGTTGAGTCGTTTACAATCGTGTCACTCAGCTATATTTTGTTACCAAAGACATGGCTCGCCGCAACTCTCTTATGCCTCAGCGCCTAACGATAACGCGACGAGAGAAATCCCCAGAACCAGTCCTCCATAGTAGTAGTACTTCAGGTCTCATGCTTCCTATGTCTGTAGTCCGTGCGCTAGGCTTCATCAGTCGGGCGTTTGTTTCATACCCGTGACCTCCGACAACTGTGGACCAATGCTAGCGGAAACGTGGATCAAAGATCAAGCAAATAGGCCAACTCTACCCCTTGTCTACGTTCACACGAACGTATGAATAGGCGAATTTGCACCACAGTCGTGGCTGTAATTTGTTGATACAGGGGGAGTGCGCTTCGCGATACAGGTCATGAAGAGCTTTCGTAGACGCCCGGAGACTTCCCAGCGCTACTGCGCACGTGACACGAAAATTAGCGCTTTGCCACTACCAACGGTTTCTTCCTGGTCCACTCTTCCCAGAGCTTTGCTTTATTTCCCCCAAGCTGATTACCTGTACTGTATTATGACAAGAAATGGACAATACTCCGCATCCCACATTCTGTAACTCTGTCAGTCAAATTTGACTGTCGGATCACTGTTCGCCTCGGTCACCGAACAAGCTCTTCCCGATCTGCCGTTCATCACGCAAGTTCTCGGTTCTAGTGGACTAGCGACTCGTCTACCAGCTTGAATGTGTAGATCCCACTTACAATGAAAATGAAAATTGCGGTATCAGCGCTAAACGTCTGTTCTTCCATGTCTCGCGACGTACGCGGCTGCTGATCAGTGTTCTCGACCGACGTGCCTACGTTTCAATTCATCTTTTTCTCACCTTCTATCATGCCTTGAAGTTGGAGGCGGGCCAGGGCGTTATCGGATATTACCAAAGGCTTATTCTGCAGTCTGGACTTGCATAGCTATTCTGCGCACAATCGAACTATAAAAGAGATGAAGACAATGTTTGACAGATTTTTCACCTACTATTCTTACTAGCAGCTTTTCAGTCAGCTATGGCCCCATTAACACATGGAGTTCACAGCAAGACCTTCTCCCAGCCTCCACTTGACGGTTCCCTTTGTCTTCCAGAACTCCTGGATCTGCAAGGCTCTCGCTGTGGAAAGCACCCTCTATTTGTGTATGAAGACGCACCAAACATGTCCAGAATCATTCTATGGGAAGAGGCCATCAAAGGCATCCACAGAGCAACCGAGTATATCCGCCGTGCCATTAGCCAGAACAACCTTGCATCAAGGAAGCCTGTAATAGCTGTTCTTGCCTCCTCGGGTATGTGGAAAATCTTTCTTGTATATCACCTTCTTGAATTATTCTTTAATGTACAGACACTATCACATTTTCTACGTTCCTTTCCGGTGCACTACGTACGGGCTGGACGGTTTTCCCTATCTCAACACGCAACAGCGTTCCAGCAATTTCGGCACTGCTGAAGCAAACTCAGGTTACCCATTTATTTACCACTGGTGAATCCCATATCCAACAAAACATAGCTGCTGCCATAAAGGAATTACCAGAACCATCATCTGTGGTAAAATGCTGCATGCCTGTGTTTGAGGACCTGTACCCAACGAAGGGCGTTGATCCGAACTTTGTTCCTTCTCGTATATCCGAATTCGACCTTGACGATACTGCTATAATAATTCACTCCTCTGGTTAGTCTAACACCCTATTTTTTAAGCCGCTTGATGCTTACTAACACGAACAGGAACAACGGCGTTTCCAAAACCCGTGAATCTGACCCACAGAGCCTTATTGTCATGGATCGATGGAGCTTGTACGTTCCTCGTCCCGTCACTCCTGACATAGTTTTACTGAGCTGAGCTTTCGTAAAAGGTCACAGCGATGTCGACTTCGCCGGCTGCGTCTTTTCTTATCACAGTGTTCCTGTATTCCATGCCCTTGGAATAACGTCCATTGCCTTCTCTGTGCGTACGGAATCCACTCTTCAGAGTGCAATATTAACAAGACTAATGATCCGTACACCTCTAGACTGGATGCGGTTTGGTCGTCGCAGCATTCAAGCCGCAAACACCAGCTGTCGTTCCAAATCCAGATAACGTCTTCCAGCAAGCTTCTGCAACAAATTGTGATTTCATATTTACAACTCCGACAATGATTGAGGTAATTCGTTTGTCCATTTTCTTCTACTGCCTTCTACTTATCGTTCTGGGCACAGACATGGGCGCAAACCGATCGCACCGTCCAGAGTCTGACAAACATCAAGGGAGTGGTACGTGTAATGTCTTCATGATATGATGTAGACATGGTGACGAAATTCTGATAGATTTACGGTGGCGGTCCACTTGGAAAAGAATGCGGTGACTACCTAGCATCTAGAGGCGTGAATATCTACACGGCATATGGCTTGTATGTATTCTCTCTGATACTATGTCCCTGGGCTAAATTTTTCCCTTCGTATAGGACTCAAACACTGCTAGTCAGCAACTTCCTTCCAAGTAAGACTGACTATCTCCTGTCCCTTTATTGCCCTAATTCACATAATTTATCTGCTCGTTTTCCAGAACCGCCTGGGATGGACTGGGAGTTCTGCCAGGTCTCCCGAGCTCGACCAGTGGATTACATCGATCGCGGCAACAATGAGTTCGAACTAGTCCTCCTGGTATACCGACCAAAATCAACCTTATTGCATGCTCATCCTCGCTGACCAAATTTCTTTCAGGCAACAGAATCTTACACGCCAAGCGTGATTAACACAGAAATTAATGGGAAACAAGGTTTTGCAACCAACGATCTCGTTATGAAGCATCCAACGAAGGAAGGTTATTTCCGCATAATTGGTCGCACGGATGATCAGATCATGCATTCGACTGGGGAGAAGACAAATCCCGGGCCACTTGGTAAGCTATATTTACTTTTCATACATTAGTCGACCCTATTAACGTTCCCTAGAGAAAATACTGAATCAGGACCCACTGGTCAGCGATGCCCTCATGTTTGGACGCGGTCGTTTCCACTGCGGTGTGCTCGTTCAACCGAAACCACCATTCTCTTGCGATCCGACCAACTCAGAGGAGCTGTTGAAGTACAGGTCATTGATATGGTGAGTCAATGACTCTTATTTCGAACGCGTCTGACTCGGATGGACTAGGCCGACTATCGAAAAAATGAATGAATTCGCCCCGTCCCATTCACGGCTGTTCAAAGAGGTACTTACCTTCCGTTCTTAGTGATTAATGTGTTCAAGCCCTTATATCTTCACAGATGATAATCGTTGCGTCCCCATGTAAGCCGTTTACGTATACTGCAAAAGGCTCGCCGCGCCGACAAGCGACCCTCGATGACTACGCGGCGGAGATAGAGTCAGCTTATGCTGCCGTCGACGAAAGCTCGCAGGACGACATACCCGGTCCAACCGATTGGACTCTCACTTCAACTGAGAAATTCATCCGAACAGTTGTCGAACGGACAATGAAGACACAAAACGAGTGTATCCTCAACGACGCTGACTTGTTTGAACTCGGATTGGACAGGTGAGCTATCTACCGATAAAGTGAAGCACGCTTGTCCTGAGTGTCATAAAGTCTTCAAGCAACCTGGATTCGTAACTCCATCCTTCGTGCACTACGTGAAACAAATCAGTCTGCGTCACGTTCCATACCTGCAAGCTTTGTGTACGATCACCCTACTATCTCGAGGCTTTCCAGATTCATCCACGGGGTAGTAGCAGGCGCACTTCCCGAATCGACCGACTCCAAGGAGGCTAAACGCGCCGAACTACGTTCGCTCATTGAGAAATATACTCAGACATTCCCGGAATTCAAAGGTGGGAAGCTGAGCCAAACAGATGGTGCAGTCGTTCTTTTGACAGGAAGCACTGGCTCGTTGGGGTCAAATATTCTCGCAAAACTCCTTCAGAATCCTGGGGTAAAGTGCGTTTACACTCTGTCCCGGCCATCTTCCAATGGTATATCTGCGAAAGAACGGCATGTCAAAGCTTTTGAGCGCGAAGCTCTTGACGTCAAGCTGCTGGATGGTTCAAAGGTCCTTCTCCTTGAGGGCGATGCTTCCCGTGCCGATTTCTCTGTGGACAAAGACGCATTTGCAGAGGTGAATGTCATTCGAGTTGGTTCGTAATATCGTTTCGTCTGACACGATTTAGATGCAAACTTCGGTGACCCACATTATCCACAATGGTACGTCACGATCTAATATTTGATTTACTTTGATGCCAACCACGTCATTTTCAGGTTGGCGAGTGAACTTCAACGTCGCGGTCTCCTCATTCGAGTCGAACATACGAAGTGTTCGCAATTTCATTGACTTCTCTCTTGGTGGATCGCGGCCCGTCCCTGCCCGCATCATCTTCATCAGTTCTATTGGGGTCTTCCAAAGTAGGTCTGATTCCTCCCTTCATCTTGCATCCACTGACATTTGCTTTCAATATAGGCTTTTCTGAGAAACAGCTTGGACCAGAGTCCCACATGGTAGAGCCAGATGGTGCGATCGGTACCGGATACGCTGAATCTAAATGGGTTTCCGAGCAGATCTTACAGCGTGCCTCAATTGTCACTCCTTTGAGCACTACTGTTGCACGTTGCGGCCAGATGACCGGCGGGCCGAGCGGTGCGTGGAACGAACACGAGTGGTTCCCGAGCCTCGTGAAGTCTAGCGTTGCGATGGGAAAACTACCGAATGCTGGTGGAATTGTTACCTGGATCAATACGCATGACGCTGCAGGCGCGGTTGTTGACATGCTGGATGTGAAAGACGAAGTTCTGAATATCGTGCATCCACGCCCGGTCTCCTGGTCTTCTGTAATCTCAACCGTCTCTGAAATCCTCGGCATTCCGGTCGTCCCATATACAGACTGGCTTCACTTGTTGGAGAAAGCGGCGAAATCGACGCCATCCGACTCCACTTCCCTCGAAGCTGCACACCGTTCAAACCCTGCACTTCGACTACTATCTTTCTTCCAAGGCTCCAGTGACGTTCCCGACGAATATAAAGAAGCTCTCAGGTTCCCACGTATGACATGCGAAAAGGCAACTGCTGCCTCACAAGCTATGCAGAAAGCGAAGCCACTGGGTGAAGAAGACGCCAAGCGATGGATTGAAAGTTGGAGAAGATCCGAATTCCTTTAATATATTCACACCTATGCTGCGTAGTTATATGGTATCGGGATACGTCACTATTACCGTAAGCAGATACTAATAAATCTCTACAGTTTTCTTTCTTATCATATAGATATTTATTAGAATCAGCCCCTTCACATGTACGAGTCTTGTATCTAGATGACTGCTTCGTAATTTAGCCTCAGACCTAGAAAGCCTCGTTGCAGATGTCATGCAATATTGCCAAACACCAACTTGGCCCATTTGTATACTGTAGAATAGACACGTTATATTGCACGTTTAAAACTGAAACTGAATCTACTCCTCCTAATTTGCACGATTTACGTTCTCATCTTTTGTCAGCATTCGAGGATTGGTATCCGCTGACAGTATGAAAGGGATTTGTACAGTGAACACAATGCGACTAGGTGTGCGGTACTGGCATGAGGAAGCAGGATCATGTAATACACTCAACCCAGCAGACCCGATGTCATCGCGAAAAAGTCGCATTCCTTATATGGAATTTTAGACTTTGTAAAGCAAAATAAACATTGTATATGCATTATAAAGCAATATAAGCATTATATATACATTATAAAGTAACTGCAAGGTTTCCAGATGAATTGTAATGTCTAAATAAGACATATTAACACATTACAAGACAATATAAGTACTATGGATAAATATAATCTATAAAACTAATTATACTAACCTTGTATGACAAGCCAAAGTATTATGTTTACATTATATTTCTATTATAATTATAAAAACAGAGTGGTACTTACAATATAATAAAGTAATAACAACTATTGTTTACTTACAATTGTTATAAAATGGTTATTAATGTATACAATTATAAAAACATTCTTTTTGTAAAGTTATAATCTTAATAAATGTATAGCATTAATATACAACTTGATAGCAATCACAAAGCAAGTATGAGACAAGAAAA